ATTGTTTGAATATTGCAATACAATGGACAGAATTTGAACTTATTGGATGGGAGGTGCGCTTCAACGTTCCGTCCATTAACTGAAAACAGGCTAGACTAATCGATTCTTGGGATTTAAGAATCGATATCGTTCCGTAAAAATGAGAATCGATTAATATCGAGATATCGATTTTTTTTTTTTACCCAGCCCTACTTATCAGCCCCATTAATTCTCCACTCTACTAACTGAAACTTTACATAGTATTGAAAGACAAAGGCTTTTTATAGAAGAAAATTGGATCTTAATTGCCACATGACGAAGGACAGAGGTATTTTTGCTTTTTAGTTAAAGTGGGCACCTAAAACACTGAATCATGTCTCATATATTTTTGACTCTTTCTGTTTTTTTTCGCTTCACAGTCTCTTTGTCCACCCATGCTGAAACACTCAAGAACATACAGCTCTTTGCTTCTTTAAAAGTTATGCTGCATTCATGTACCATGTCTGAATCATCAGCTGGTGAAGTTCGAATCAGCTGTTCACATCCTTGCCTGTTCAAATGATTTGTTTCTATAGCAGTGCTGCAAATAGAAATCGCTACATTAATTCACCTCTTTTATACTACTGCTCAAAAGATAGAAGTTTGGGGTTAACATTTTTTTGTGTGTGTGTGTATTTGAAAGACATTTCTTAAGCACACCTGTCTGCATTTATTTGATCAAAGATGTTGTGAACATTTTCGTATATTTAAAAAATGTATTCCTGTAATGCAAAGCTGAATTTTCAGGATCATTATCAGTCTTCAGTGTCACATGATCCTTCAGAAATCATTATAATAAGCTGATTTGATTCTGAAGAAACATTTTTTTATTATTACCAATATTAAAAACAGGTGTGCTGCTTAATATTTCTCTATTTTTATTAGGGCTGGGCAAAAAAAATATTTTTTTCGATTAATCGTTTTTTTTTCACCTCTTTTATACTACTGCTCAAAAGATAGAAGTTTGGGGTTAACTTTTTTTTTTTTTTGTGTGTATTTGAAAGACATTTCTTAAGCACACCTGTCTGCATTTATTTGATCAAAGATGTTGTGAACATTTTCGTATATTTAAAAAATGTATTCCTGTAATGCAAAGCTGAATTTTCAGGATCATTATCAGTCTTCAGTGTCACATGATCCTTCAGAAATCATTATAATAAGCTGATTTGATTCTGAAGAAACATTTTTTTATTATTACCAATATTAAAAACAGGTGTGCTGCTTAATATTTCTCTATTTTTATTAGGGCTGGGCAAAAAAAATATTTTTTTCGATTAATCGTTTTTTTTAAATGAAGTCGATTCGATATCGATTCTCAAAAGCCGCGAATCGATCTTTCTTATCATGGCCATATGCGTGATTCGCAATGCTCAGGTGAAATGCTATAGTAATACTATAAATCTGCGGAAGCATTTGATATCACGCATAAGGCGCCATGATTTCCGCAATGAATGAATGGCGGATGGCGCGGCGCACTGTTTTGTTTACACATACTAAAGCGCGGATGACGCTCGCGGTGTTTTCAGCTTCTGCCGTCTCACTATATGATGATATGAACACGAATGTCATCTCCAGCTGCTCTGAGTCACTTCATTAGCATTTACCGTTTCATTTGAGAAATCTACCGTCATATCACATACACAGCAGCTGCAAGTTCTTCACGGCAACCCGTCAAAATAAAAGTTTAGTTTAACGTTCTACTGTCAGAATATATTACTATTTAGCAGTCTTAAGAATCAATGCTACTACTTCTTATAAATATTAATAAATCTTTATTTTTAAAGGAATAATCACATCTGTTTTCTTTTTAATTTTAACAGTAAACCTCTGTTGTGCAGCACTTTGTTTGCCAAAAAATAAAAGGGTTTAATTTTCATTTGATTAGGATAAATTAAATTAATGTTTTATGCCTTCATCTGATTACCAGAAAAATTAAGAACATTTTATAGGGCCCTATTATTGTTTAAAAAAGGACCCATACAAAAAAAAAGTATAGGTTTAAAATACAGGCATGTGGTTCTTAATTTCTTTTTATTAATTCACCATTTGTAAACTGATGTTTACTGTTCATTTTTTAGAAATATCAATAGCATTTGTATTAAAACTATATTCACTGAATGTAATAAAAAAATCGAGAATCGAATCGAGAGTTGCGAATCGAAATCGAATCGAATCGGGACATCTGAATCGATACCCAGCCCTAATTTTAATGTAGGTTCATAATATTTTCAGGATTATTTGATGAATATAAGTTATTGCTGTCACTTTGAACACTTTAATATGTTCTTGCTAAATAAAAGTATTAATTTCTTTTTAAATGGTATTGTATGTACTTTTACAATATATTGAACAAAAAAGGCACATTAGGTTACTCTAACTATAATAAAATAGCATATCAAACAGGTTCTTAGCTACTGCTAACTGTTGAAGCTGCTGCCATTTTGCTTGATTTACCATATCTCAGAAAGGTCAAGCAAGAGAAATCAGCTCTTTGACAATTTTTTCATGGTTTTAAAAAGTTAACAAATTGTGTTGCAGTAATATTAACGGGTTTAGCTTTATAAACAGGGCTGTCGTCAGAAGGTAAATCTGGAATCGGGTCCTGTGATGAGCCTAAAGTTGCTAAGGTCCTCTGTGGTTTCCCCCGGGTCCCATGACTTTTAGCGGCAGTCCTGATGTAGTTGCGGGTTCATAAACCTGTCAGACAGGCTACGTTATCACGAGTGTGTGAGAGATCTCCCACTTCCCTCTTTACACACAGAAACGTCTACAGAGAGGGCATATGTTTGTGTAAGGAAAGTCTTGTCAGGTTCAGATGAACGAATGCCACGTCTGCAGCAGTACAGGCCAATTAATGCTTCCTGAAACCATTCTGCAGTTTTGTGCACTTTCTATAGTCATGAATATTACATCAAGATCCACTTTGCAATATCCTCTGCACTAACATGCTACTTGATTCCCAATAACTGTTTATCAGTTGAAGGTGGCATAACAAAAGGTGGTTTGTTATGTCGTTTTGACTTTCAAGGTTTGCTGACTGAGACTTTTTCTGCTTGAAAGCTCCAGTATACTCACACATCTTATTCAAGCACACAAGTTTCTCAAGTTAAACACCAGGAGTTTGTGTTTAAGAAGGATGTCAAATAAACTGGTGTTGTTTTTCTCTGGCTGTGCATTTTAGCAGCGCTTGTGTTCTGTTTGTGAGGCAGCATAATTGTATAATCATAAATTTAAAAATGAAATACGCTGTGTGTGTGTTTATAGCACGTTGTGACTGTGAGAGTGGAGATTTGAATGTATTACCCTGTTCGTTTGTACTGTAGATATCTTTCAGCTTCTGCCACTCTGGATGACATTTCCAGCTCTGAAGTGTGAGTTACTTCATTCTTTACATTCATTTTGTGTATTTTAAAGTATGTTTTCTGCTATTTTAAGGTCACGAAGGGCTAAAAGATTGTTTTAGGGTGGCTTGCTCTGCTTTGTGGATTTTTATTAGATAATGCAATCTTATATTGCATTATAAGTATTGTGAATTGCAATTTAAATGAGCTTACTCTGTAGATGCGCATTACTTTTTAAGTTTGGAATTTGTATGATTTTTTTTGTCTATTATGCTTACCAAGGATGCATTTATTTGATCAAAATACAGTGTTATATTATTATTACAATTTAAAACTGGAATTTAAATATTATTACAATTTAAAACTGGAATTTAAAAAACATTCTTATTTTCATATATTTTAAAGTGTACTTCATGAATTTTGTGAAAATGAATTTTCAGCATCATTACTCCAGTCTTCAGTGTCACATGATCCTTCAGAATTCATTCTAATATGCTGATTTGCTGCTCAAGCAACATTTTTAATTATTATCAGTTGAAAAGCTTAATGTATTTATGGAAACTGATGCATTTTTTCCCTGGATTCTTTGGTGAATAGAAAGTTCAACAGAGCAGCATTTATTTGAAATAGAAATCTTTTGTAACATTTTTGCCATAACATTTTTTTAATCACTTTTGATTAATCAGCCCTCTACGGACACCTTGGCAATTGAAACAAAGCGACGGCGAGTCGTGCGCCTTCATAGAGTTTACGGTGCGTTGCACATCCATTCTGATGAACTGAAAAACAGCGCAGATCGCTTGACGGAGAGTGAAACTCTGAAGCGCTCAGTCAGAGAGTGTTCGGCGAGTGAAAATATATCTGTGCTAAACTTATACTTAGCCTCCAACTCACACACTGGCGAGTAAAATCTGAGAATTTATTAGCAATTGGCTAATGTTAGACATCATTTAGTCGCCCAGAGTGAAGATTTAGTCGCATATGCGAGTGATTTACTCGCAATGTAGAGGGTTGTTAATGGAATGTATAATCTCAGTTTCTTTTAAAACAGAATCTTACTCCAAACTTCTGAATGGTAGTGTATATTAAGAGAGCATTTCGTTCGGTATCCAGTGAAACAACTAACAACATTTCTGATGACTTTAAGGGTGGTATGACTGGTGTTTGTTATCTGGAGGCTGTGGTCTTGTTGACTAACTCCTGAGAAATTCATGGACATTAAAGAGTTTCACGTGATTTTTTCAAATATTTTTCTCTCTCCCCCCACATCCTCTTTTCTCTGCGTTCTTTCTCTTACAGGTATAAAAAGACTCAGGAAACGCTGTCTCAGGCTGGACAGAAGACCTCAGCCGCCCTCTCCACCGTTGGCACGGCCATCAGCAGGAAACTGGGTGACATGAGGTAATGCACAAGTCAAAATGCCCACCCTTGTGCGTCCTCTGTTTCTCTAGTACTTTTTTTTCTTTTCTTTTTTTTCAATCACAAATTACAACGTGACTCTGCAGTCACTTAAATTTGCATATGTTTTTATTTAATTCACAATTTTTCTTGGGTAATATGAATTTAGACTAACCATTGTTCCTGGTTAATGTCCAAGTGTTTTGTCTAACTTAGCAGTTCAGATCTGTTGTGTCAAAACTGTTCATGATTTATCTTAAACTGCATTTATGTGTGTGTGTATATGTGGCATTTCTCCATCACATGCCTTTGGCTTCGTTTAGACAGGCAGCAAAAATCCTACTCAAAATCATTGATTCTGAATACCAAAAAAGAAAGAAATATACAGTCCAAACAACATCCATATGTGATTTGAAATCTGATGAAATCACAATGCAGACAAAAGATTGGATTGGAAACTGAATTGGATTTGTATACAGTGTGAACAAAGCCCTCATGCCTACGTTCTCTCTTTGGTTATTGATCCACTCTTTTGCATTTGTCATATCCTACTGCCATTCATCATCACTATGAAGCCATTATTATCCATAATGAGTGTTAAAGGCATAGTAAGTGATTTTTCAAAAACACTTTATAAAACTGATTCGGGCCGAATCGCAAAACAAACTTGTAGCCAATCAGCAATAAGGGGCGTGTCTACTCGTGATGTGGATGAGAGCGCGTTCAGTGCATGGGACGGACATTGTTGCGCCTCGCCGCTCACGTCCGTAGACACGGTGTAACATTGGTTTTGCTTTGTTTCACAGAACTAATCGTTGCCTGGGTTGCGTACGTATATGTGGGGCGGAGCTATCAAAATAGGGGCAAGACCCTTTTGGGGTAGAGGCGTGTTTGTTTTGGTGATTTCAAATATCAACATTGGCTACCAGAAATCACTCACTCTGCCTTTAATGCAGTGCGACCACAGTCAGCAGAGCCACTTAAACTGTAACCGGCTGTTTTACTCCTCATATAATGAACAGAAGCTCTCCCTAACCTGTTTTCCTGGCTCCTGATTCACTTTACTGCATATACTGTCTCTGTTCTTACAATTATTTGCACACATTTATTTAACTTCCTTCACCACTCCACAAACAGAAGGCAGAAGAAAAGGAGTTTTGTGAAGGCCTGACTTTCCTTCTATTAAACGTGACCTGTGAATAGTTGGTCCTCAGTGTTCTGATATGCAGAGGGCCTGAGACCAGTATCAAAATCATTAGCTGCTCCATAAATCAGTCTCTAGTGTGTGACAGAGAGAAGCTAATCACGTCATTCAACAGATCAAAAGCTTCAGCCATGCTTAATTAATTAAAGCTCTGCTGCTGTGTCCCTTCATTCATCAGACAGATAATGACATCACTCAAATTTATTAGCCACTTTTAGTCATTAACATCTATCCATCATATTCACCCCATAAAATGGTTTGATTGTTTTTTGGTTCACTTCGCTATTCCCTGTATTACTCTATATCAGAACAATAATTCTCATAATTTGTTCGTCCTGCTTGCTTTGGTCATGCTTAACACCCAACCTGATTGCTTTTGTATTCCACCTTTCTTTTTAAACGCTGCCCTTGCTTGGTCTACAGAGCTCTTCCTTTCTCTAACACCTTTGGGTAAGACTGATTAATGTCATCAAATAATTTACACTTAACATAGAGCTCTGTTTGTAATACCAAGCCCATTTAATTAAAAAAAATTTTTTAATTATAATTTAAATGTAATATTGATTTTAATGTTATTTTAGCTCTGAAACCCTGCTAATTTTGATTCTTACCTACTTGTGCATGATTACAGTGCTATATTATGTGTGAACAAATGTGATTTTTAAAGATCCGAAGTTTGAGCTGTAAATGTCACAGACATACTAGCAGTCTTTGTGTGGTGTAGCCCAGCTGATCTCTCTGCCTTGCGTGCTGTCCTGCTTGCTTGCTAACACACACAACTTTTTCTCCTTTTAATGCTTTCGAAGTAGCAACTACTCCATTCGCCATTCAATAAGTATGCCAACTATGAGGTAAAGTACTAGGGTAAACCACTGCCCCTCAACTCAAACGTTTCTGATTCATTGGACAATAAAATATTAGATTTTCAAATGATTATTAGTAATTTGTGAATTTTTTTTTATTTTTTTTTTTATTAAAACAAATAATACTAAACTGTTTAAACTGCTGTATTGAATATTCTCATAATGCTTGATAAATTTATTTATTTATTTTTGGCATGCTTGTTTTTTTGTTTTTTTTTACCTTTTATAAGCCAGTTACTTTACTAAGTCCACTTGCTCATGTCTAATTAATTGCAATGTTTCTTCTGCCACGAACTGTGGGATTAATGTGTGTTTTGTTAAATAGGAACTCTCCAACCTTCAAATCATTTGAGGACAAAGTTGGAAACATCAAGGTAAGGCTTCACTTTTGAAATTGGGTCAAATACATGATGCTTATTTTTGGCAGATCTGTTAATTTATTCAAAAATACATTTGATATATTTAAAATATTGACAAAGACAAAAATGAAGACATTTGTCCATCAAATCAAAGTCAAGTGGTACAACCATTAAGCGGAAACAGAAAACCTAAAACAAGAAGTTATATCACATACACTATCAAGATTTTTGAAATAGGTCTCATATACTCAGCAAAGCTGCATTTATTTGATCAAAAACTCAGTAAATTATAATGTGAAAACAAATGTACAATTTAAAATGACTTTTTTGTATTTTAATATATTTTAAAGTGTAATTTATTCCTGTGATACAAAGCTGAATTTTCAGCATCATTACTTCAGTGTCACATGATCCTTCAGAAATCATTCTATCATGCTGATTTGGTGTTCAAAAAATATTTCTTATTATCAATGCTGTATAGAGGGCCCTTAATGTCTCTCAAGGCCAATTTCCCCCCCAAAAACGGAATGACTTTTAAAAAAATAATAATTTTAAAATAATAAATGGTAAATTTTTTTCTTTATAATTACACCAGATGATTTTTTTGAGTCTTTAAATGTAAACTTTTGTTAAAAAAGGATATAAAAGTTTTACAGAACCATATGAAACCAACATGACTATGCTGTGTAGAGCACGTCTAAGAACTTGACACATGCTTTTTAAACTTGATTTTTCCTTGGACACTTGGTGTCCTGCGTGTCTCTTAATGTTTTTTTCTGTTTGTGTGTCTCAGTATAAGGTGGTTGGAGGGAAAGCCAATGGTGAAAGTGCCCACTCTCCGAACGAGTCCAACCCGATGCAGGACAACGCTCCGTTCTGAGAGCCCACCCTCTTGATTTAAACACTTATCTCATTCTTTGTGAATCCTGACTACACCTACACTTCCGTTCTCCCAGTTCTCCCGTTCTCTCTGAATTCTTTCATCCCTCCTTCCTCTGTCTCCTTTGATACCCCTTCACCTACTGCTAGCATGTGCTTGCTCATCTCACTGAAAACACACACGTAGTACAGATTCTGTGACATGAAATCATCACAGGTTGTACAAAAGAAGACAAATGATGAATCATTTTGTATTAGAAACTATTTTACACTGCTTTGCATAATGTTTTTACATAACTTTTATCTATATATGACTATAATGGAATACAAATAACTATATTTAAACAGTACTGCCAAGCAGCATTCATCAGTTGGCAGAGGGGTATAAAATACTCAAAGAAGAAACATTTAAATCTCAAGGGGGGTGGATTTTAGACCAATAAAGAAAAGAAACTTGCTGCTGGTTTCTATGCTGCTGAGCATTCAGTTGAGTTATTTTTGACTCGGTACAATGTGAAGCTGTACACCTGGTGAATGTCTGACCCTCTCTGTCGGCCTTACACTCGCACTCTCTATTGCTTTGTTGGTCTGTTGCTGGTGAAAACCTGTTACCCTAAATAGTTTTTTGCTTGATCTTTTTTTAACCTTTGCTTTTTCTTGCTCTTGTTCAGTTATTTTTTTTCACTGATGGGAATGTTTTATTTATGCTGTTTGTCGGGAATCACTTGCCTTTGCTTTGTGCCATGCTGTGTGTACCAGATGCCATAGACTTTTTGCTGTCAGAATGTTTCACACACACAAACTATCACCAAACTATCACATCACAAAGATCACTGTTAAATTTTAAGAAATAAAAAAGAAGTTACTCTCAAGTGCACTAACCCAAAATGTCAAATGGCGAGTAGGTCCTGCTAAGTAAGTTGAATTTCTTTTGTTAGTGGCATTTGTTGGTTTTTCCCAACAGACGTGAACACTATTGTAGTCAGTATCGTAGCACAGTCACTTTTTACCGGAAAGATATTGGAATATATTTCATTATTAGTAAATGTAATCTTATTTTGCTTCATTTTTATCTGTTCTATCCTAATATTTAATTCACTTACATGGGTGTCAGTGGGTGGCCTTGTTTCAGTATATTACACCATGATTACATGCCTCATTGTTTGAGATGCAAGGGACTGATGCAGATGATGAGATGCCAACTTCATGTGACTTTCTACTGGAATCCATGTGTAAAATGCCATAGAATTATGTGGATACACCTGTAGTTCTGCAAACGGTGAAAAGATGACAAAAGATCATGAACATTCAGAGGGAAAGGACTTTTTTATTATTATTTTGGGGAGGTTGTTTAGTTAACAGGCACCATATAGCTTTAAATTAGAGATCTCAGCCTAGTTGTTCAGATTGTTTTCTTTAACAACAACAGTGGTGTTATTCTTCATTTATTTTTGTCAGTTTCTATATCAATAAAGCATTCGTTAAAATGGCTTTTGGTTCTTTTCTCTTCCTTTCATAATGTTAGGGACATAAATCTGCCAGGAGGTGGCAGTACAGCACGTACTCTAGAGAAGCCATGTGCTTCTACAGGCTCTGCGCTTTTTACGCAAACATGCCATTGGAGGATATCCTCGACTTTTCTTTGTGTTTTAGCATTTGTTTTATTGTAGCATTGAAATATATGTAGAAACTATGAATTTGATTAGAAATGTAAATATATAGTTGGATAAAATGTAACATTTACTTTTGATCCAGGGCCTTCAATCAAGTTTGGTATTTGGCCCTTCGTGGTAAAACGTTTGAGCGCCTCTACTTCACAGACTATGGGTTTTTTTCACTTATTTTACCTTCTACCTATTTTTCCAGAATTTTTTTTACCATATTAATTAGCTAATAATTAGAAACTTAATTAAAATGGTTTAAATTAATTTTGTTTTATTTTTCTCTGACCCAAGTTCAAAACGGTGAAAATACTTGAATATAAGGTGAAAATATTTTTAAAATGAACAGCAGTAAATATACAAAGAATAAAAATATTCATCTTATTTTATTCCTTCTTGTTTGTATTCCCCAAATTGTCCTTTGTGGCCAGGGGTTAAATTGGGATTTGTTATGTGGGGCGGCTCTATGGTATCGAGTGTGTGTGTTTTGTTTTTTTGCAAATATGATTTATTTTGAAGCAATATTCTCATCAGTTTTTTTAACAGCTGTGACATATAAATCTGCGTGTTTTTTAATATTTTATCCAAGGGCGTTTTTTTTTTTACCTTTATAGAGGGCATTTTCCCACTAATCTAATTAATACTTTCATTTCAAATTCTTACATTTGATCTATAAATTAAATTAATATGATTATCTATACGTTATCAATTAAATCATTTACACTGAAAAATACAACTGCATTAAATAATATTATGAGATTCTTTTAAATGTTTTTGAATATACGAACAAGAAATGATGGTGGAAATTATACTGTTCAACGAAATTAAAACGCCAGTAGGTGCCAGTAGTGAGCGTTTAATGAGTGAGTCATTGAGTCGTTCATTCAAACGATTCATTCAAACTGCAGATTCATCAGATGTTTCTGCATGGGCTAATGAAACTTTGACTCACTCAACCGATTCGTTCAAAACACGGAATCAATCAACAATGAATCGTCTGGTTGCTGTCAGATGCGCTGTTTACTTTACTTTACTTTTTTTACTTTTAGTCATTTAGCAGTTTTTTTCTGACAGATTTATTAACAGCAATTACAGAACAGAACACAATCCATTTGAACTTTTAACAACCAGTTTAAATAAATTTACTTGCACAAACTAGCCCATTTAAAATAAATATTACATGTACACAAAAGTTTGGGGTCAGTAAGATTTTGTAATATTTTTTTAAGTCTCATGCTCATGAAGGCTGCACTTATTTGAACAAAAACAAACAAACAGTAAAAGCAAATTCCGTCTGAAATGTAAGTGACCTAATAATATTATCGCATTTGCTTCTTGAAATAGAACTATTAAACAGTTGTAATGGTGAAAACGTTGTGTGATGTTGCCTAACTAACTGTATTTTAAATATAAAAACTTTCCATTTTGAATTTTTACCTCAGGGTGCTGTTTCTTTTCAGCCTCGCCTCAGCAGCGCAACCTTATTCCGTCAATAGATGCATTAAATACAGCTATATCCACTATTCGCCACTTACTCTAAATGTAATAAAATCAGAATAATACTTGTGTTTTGGTGTTCACATAGTTATCTTTGGTTACTGATGTTTTAATAATGTTACTTGTCTGGCGTTAATGAAGCGTTAATGTCGAGTCTATGTGCCGGGGCTCAGCCCCGGACGACCCCGGCCCAATTTAAACCCTGTTTATGGCTAAAAAGCAAACATCAGTCCTCAGTTTTTTTACAATATGATCAGATCATCGGTAGGTAAACTGTTTTTATTCATCAAATGCCGATCATATTCTGAATAACAGCTAATTCGCAATGTCACACATACACGTTCACTCTTAATGAATAGCTGTGAATAGTGTTGTTTTGTTATGAATGATGAGTGTGAAATTGGGAAACCTCACAAAACACGTTAATTCCCTGACCGGGAATCGAACCCGGGCCGCGGCGGTGAGAGCGCCGAATCCTAACCACTAGACCATCAGGGAACTGCTTTCGAAAGAGTCATGCAGTGTTATCGAGGCAAATCGTTAATGTCGAGTCTATGTGCCGGGGCTCAGCCCCGGACGACCCCGGCCCAATTTAAACCCTGTTTATGGCTAAAAAGCAAACATCAGTCCTCAGTTTTTTTACAATATGATCAGATCATCGGTAGGTAAACTGTTTTTATTCATCAAATGCCGATCATATTCTGAATAACAGCTAATTCGCAATGTCACACATACACGTTCACTCTTAATGAATAGCTGTGAATAGTGTTGTTTTGTTATGAATGATGGGTGTGAAATTGGGAAACCTCACAAAACACGTTAATTCCCAGACCGGGAATCGAACCCGGGCCGCGGCGGTGAGAGCGCCGAATCCTAACCACTAGACCATCAGGGAACTGCTTTCGAAAGAGTCATGCAGTGTTATCGAGGCAAATCCCAAACTATTTATTTATTTAAATTATATATGTATTCGGTATGCATATTTGTTGATAATGTTATGAAGTCTAGTGGGCGCAATCAGTTGCAATACCGAAGTCCAAACCCTAAGGCTGATGTTACACTTTTTAGAGCAATATTGCTTGGGCACTTCCCCATTGAGAATGGGTAACATATTTCTATCTGGATACTTTAGATCGGTCGTGGGCCCTGTGTCTAAACTGGTTTGCCGTTGACGCCAACACTGCCCACAGTTGCCCCGTGTATCATCAGCCTTAAAGCACCAGCCGTTCCGTCCTGCCTCTCGCTGGTTTGATCCGGTTCCACACACTGAGGGGTTTTTATAGAGGATTATATATGTATTCGGTATGCATATTTGTTGATAATGTTATGAAGTCTAGTGGGCGCAATCAGTTGCAATACCGAAGTCCAAACCCTAAGGCTGATGTTACACTTTTTAGAGCAATATTGCTTGGGCACTTCCCCATTGAGAATGGGTAACATATTTCTATCTGGATACTTTAGATCGGTCGTGGGCCCTGTGTCTAAACTGGTTTGCCGTTGACGCCAACACTGCCCATAGTTGCCCCGTGTATCATCAGCCTTAAAGCACCAGCCGTTCCGTCCTGGCTCTCGCTGGTTTGATCCGGTTCCACACACTGAGGGGTTTTTATAGAGGAGCGAAAGGCCACGCCTCCGTCACCAGTGCTTGTCGTCGACGTCATCTCTCTGTATAAATTTAAGCGAACGAGTTGTTTTTGTTAAACGGCACTGCGGTAACGTGAAGTTAGATATTACCGGACGTGGAGGGTTTTATCCATCCAAACCTTTTCAAATGGGCACCGTTGCCTAGCGTTTTCTCCCCAAAGCCTCCGACTGAATTGAGCTGGGTGCTTTAATAACATCAGCACGAGCGGCAGAAGAAGGTGAGATTGTGGTTTAGGCTTCATGTTTTAAAGGGTGGTCATTGTTTGTTTCGGAGAATCTGAGAAAAATACGTTTAATCTAACATTATTAGTGTCGTTTATCTGTAGTGGTGCATGTTTTCTCACGTTTGAGACAAAAATGTTTGTTTTGTGATCGCAGTTGCTGTAATTTCAGTGAGATTACTGTAACATCCTCGTGTAATTTAGTTTTCTGAAAAATTCTGTAGGAAGCTTTTTTGTAAAGAATATCTCAAGTGGCATAATGTCAGTTTGGTTAGTCTTGTTGTTTGGCACTAAACTGTATAACGAGTAACATTTACAATACCAATATGTCACCAAAACCATGTTGTGATTGATGAAATCTTTTAAATGCCTTCCCTGAGTCTGTCTTCATTAAAATCCATTCTCCGGTTTAAGATGAGAAGTTAATATCTAGTTTGTATTATTTGCTACAGAAGCAGTCATGTCTGACCAAATGTCTTCTCACAGGGTTTCCATCTAAGTCACTGTTTACACACGTCTGTAAAATGGCAGCCATCCCAGCTAGTGGTTCCCTAGTTGCTACTCACGACTACTACAGAAGTAAGTTGCGTTTGCAAGTTCTTTACTGTTATAGGTGTATGAAACTATTAATAGTTGATGTTATAAAGAGAAATTGCCTTATAAGACTGTTCCTTTTCAGGGCGCATTGGCTCTACATCCAGTAGCAGCTCGTGTGGCAGTTCCGAGTATAGTGGGGAGGTTATTCCACATCACCCAGGTGAGTTACGTTTCATTTCTGTCTCTTTTAAGGGCGCATTGGCTCTACATCCAGTAGCAGCTCGTGTGGCAGTTCCGAGTATAGTGGGGAGGTTATTCCACATCACCCAGGTGAGTTACCTTTCATTTCTGTCTCTTTTCAAACGCCCCCCCCCCAAATGATTGTTGCTTAGTCATCTTGGATTGAGCGGTTGCCTTTTCCTGACTGCATGCATGCATGCATCGGCCTACATGTCTTTGTTTAGAGACTCTTTAACAGTGATTGTGCCTACATGATGGTGCTTTACTTGTTCTGACCTGTTGTTTAATTGTGCTTTAGGTCTGCCCAAACAGGATTCTGGCCATTGGTGGTCCAGTTTCTTCTTTGGGAAGCAGAACCAGCCTGGGATGGGAACTCTTACCGAGGAGGCTCAGCAGAAGTGAGTCACTGAATTGAGTTTCACCCGAGTTGGTGCATGTAACATGAAGGCCTTGCCAAGGGCTGATACACTCTTTAATTGCAGATGCAGTTGCAAATTTTAGATTTTATAACAAAGGGTGTTAGTTTGCTATATACATTTCTAAATTCTAAATCCCTTAATGTGATTTGCTCACTGCAGGTCAGGGGTGGTGAGTGTGACCAATGGGCAGGTGACATGTATTGCCCGGGAAATGGTGATGAGGCAAGTGAGCGAAAGTAGCGATGGAGGCAAGTCGGAGGCGGGGAGTTCTT